TCATGCAGCTATTAAGTGAATCATATAGTAAAGTAAATCTGGCTTTCCCCACTGATTTTGCTTGTCAGAAGCCAGCTGGAAAGATTACAAATGATGATCGCCTAACACAGGGACACTACAACTGTCATAAATACATGACAGTTGTCAAACTCATTAACCATGGGACCATGAGGATGCTGCAACATCCTAAATGCTAAAAGCAACCATAAGTCACTTTTTCCAATGCCATTATAACTTTGAAGGGTCACTAAATGAATGCTTGTAAGTCAAGGACTACCTGTACTTCACATTCCAATTCATTTAATAGTATCACCTTCTTTCAATCCTCTCTGTTTACCTATAAACAGAACAAAGGCCTTCTCGGAGCAGATTCTATATTGATTTAGATTAATGATGATTATTATGTCAGAGACTGTAATATTAACACTACAATTATTCATAGGTACTGTGCCCTTACCACACTGAGACCTATAGAATCAATAGAAAATATCAGCCTTTGCTTTTATCCATAATTCGCTAAGTATATCATCTCTGAAAAAGTATTAAGCAGGCAATGTATTAGCTATCAACTAATAATGTATTGTACTGTAGCAAGAAAAGCAAGGTTACAAAGCAAGATACGCTAGATCTGTGAAATATTTTCCAATAATAACATGTGACACAGTCTCCAAGCTATTTTTATTGAAAAATAGTTCAAGTAAATAACTGCATTCAATTTCTAAGTTTTCAGAGTCTAAAGTTGAAGAATTTTCACCAGTGTTTTAAATCATTTGGATTGCGTGGATGGCACTGAGTGAAGAGGAATAGTCTTGGGCCACATATAAAATATACAGTATAATATAGTTAATGTATATAAAAAACAAACTTCCTTTAAAAGTCTTGTGGGCTTCATTACTAAATGTCTAGTACCAAGTGTTGGACACACCTGTTTTGAACAGGTTTTAAATTTTCAGGCATTAAATAGTCTGAAAAATGCACGGCTGTATTTAAAATGGAACTAGCAATTTTATTCTTCTCAAAATATATTAAGCTACAGTTTATAAAAGGTTAAAATTCAGCATAAATTTTAAAGGAAAATAATTTAACAAACATTTGCTTAATATAATGCCTAAGGACACCTGCAAGTACATAATTTAGCAAGTATAATTTTAGAATGATGCACAGTTTTTACGTAAAATTGGATATCATTAAATTATTTTACTATAAAAATAATAAACATGCCTATGATTTTCATTACAGGAAAATTACAAGTGATATGTTTCCTGGAAAAATATACAGAAATATTTACTGCTGTCAAGTTTGTATGTCACAGACTTTCAAAATTATAAAGCAGACTAACTTATAACATTAAGTTTTTCCAAATACATTGAAATTTTAGCAATAATAATATCAGTGATTCCCTCTTCCCATTTTAAGAGCTTCTTTAAAGCTATACTTATTTAAAGTGTTGTAGAACAACTTTCTCCTCTTAATACAATGGAAAATTAAACATAATATTATTTGATTTATATAAACATTATTTAGCGAAGGATAGGATACCATGTTTAGGGGTATTTGAACTGGATTAGCACAGTAATACTTTCAGAAAGTTATTTGTTTCACAAGAAAGACTATAGAATGACTGGTTATACCACACAGAGCCACAAACCAGATTACCACATTTATCCTAGTGAATTGTACCCACATGTATATCTTATTAGTTTGCCACACACCCCTTGTAATTAGACCATAGTCTGATTCTTATAACGGTCTAAAGTATTTCACTTTCTAGTTTTTAAATTTTTATTTATTTATATCCCACCCTTTATTATTACAAATAACTCAAGGCAATGAACATATCCAACACACCTTCCTCCTCCTGTTTTCCCCACAACCACCACTCTTGGAGTTTAGTTGGGCTGCAAGAGAATGACCGGTCCAAGGTCAGCCAGCTGGCTTTCATGGCTAAAGAGGAAATAGCACTCAAGGTTTCTAGCCCTTCTCCATCTTTCTAGCCTGATACCTTAACTATGTGAGCTTTAAAGACACTGCATTATTTTTTATCAAGACTTTACACCAACAAAATGTCACAATGAAGGCTCCAATAATGTTCAGAAGGTATTTTTCAGCAATAAAGTGTTTTAAATTAATTTAGTTAAGATATGTACATTGCTTTTTAGATACAATATTATTATACACTTAATAGACTAGAGCATTCATTCATTCATTCATTCATTCATTCATTCAATGTATTGGTTGCTCAGCTTACCATAAGGTATTTCTGCATGGCTTACAATCATAAAAGTATACATATGCATATGTTGCCTATACACATACAATTTAAACATAAATTAAAATAAAAAAATTAGTGAAGGGCAGCACAATGAGGGAAAGTGAGATCTGTTTTTACTATATCAACCACCTCCACTGTGCTATTCCCAACCAGCTGTCAGAAACATGTTTATACCTTTATGAAAGGATAGGAGGGTTGGGGCCAACCTCATATTGGGGAGGGAAGGAGATGTTCCAGAGGGCAGGAGCAACAGCAGTGGCAGTCTTCTTGCTGGACCCTGCTAGCTGGAAAAATCAGGCTGATAGGACCTGCAGCATGCTTCCTCTACTGGTATTGGTGATATGGGTAAAACCTAGTGGGGTGAGACAGTCCTTCAAGTAACCTGGACCATGAAGGGCTTTAAAGATGATCACCAACAATTTGAATTGCACCCAGAAGCAGACTGGCAACCAATGCAGCTTGCGGATCAGTGATATTACAGGGGCCATTCCTGGGGCCGCCAAAAGTTCCCATGTTACTGCACGCTGCACCAACTGTGGGCTTCTGAATGCTTCAGGGTAGCCCCGTGTAGAATGCAATGCAATAATCCAACCGCATTCTGTAGTGTAAAAATAACTTTTATATGCACTGCAAAAAAAATATATGCATGTGACTCAGTTTATTGCGATGTAGGAACTTCTGACCCAAATATTTATATCTTCTAACCAGCCACATTCACATTTTTATATTCATTATTCCCTTTAGTCTCCCAAGCGCAAAGATGACTGGATGCATTTGAAAGGATGAGAATACCAAGGTGAAAATATATACCAAAATAAAGTCACATTTTCATGCTTTGGCCAGCTATTACATTTGAATGCAGAATCTCCTAGGTTTTTTGAACAAGACAATGTCATTATGACAAGGAAAGTTCTCTCCCATGTTCGATTTTGATACTGTGTAAACATTGCATCAAAATATAATGGAATAGATATGACCAATGGTTGCAAACCCAAATACTTCTATACTTAAGATTATTAAAGTTTCACTCTGACCAACTGAAAACAACTGCAATACATCCAGGATACAGAACCAGGGTCTACGAATGAACATTATCAATGTTAATAGTACCAACATCAGCAATAGCCTGCATTTCAGGATGCAGGGGGGGGGGGATACTATATTTAAACAAAAGCTATTTCAGTGTGTTTCCTTCAAACATATTTATTCCTGACCAAATGAGAGGAACCCCTTAAAACTGGACAGCAGGAATCACTCTTTTAAATTATATAATCCCTGAGATCTGGTCATATGACAAGATACCTCACTATTACTAAGCAGAAACACCAAAGTTTTTCCTCCTGAGCATTTTTCCTCCCATTTTTCCCTTCCTCCAACAAGGAGGACATCCTTTCCAGGAATGGGCATGCATTTTGGGTGTGTGCAGAATGCCTCATAGAACATGCTCTGATTGAAGTACCTTTTTGTCTCCATGGAAGGCAGGTTGAAACAGTTTCTCAGGTGAAGGATATGCAACCATTTGCCCTTTACTAATAGCAGGGTTAATTCCATCACTTGAGGCCTGTCCAAAGGCATCCAGGAGAACCTCCACACACAATCAGGGTCCCAGAAAGACAAACTCCCCCACCCCCCAGCAAGATCAGAAGGGCTGAGCCTCCTTCCTGCAGATGCTCCCCGCTTTTATCCTCCTCCTTTCAACAAGACAGGTTGCTGTCGTTTCCCGCCCTCCATATAATGTATGTATGTATGTATGTATGATGTATGTATGATGTATGTATGTATGTATGTATGTATGTATGTATGTATGTATGTATTTATTCTCCTCACAGCTACGGAAGGGCAGACATCTTCATCCAAGCAACTCCCGACCCATATTCACCTTTCGCCCTCCCCGTACCTAAATCCTCCTTACCAGAAGCTGCTTATTTCCCTTGCAAAGGTTTGGTCACCTGCAGGAAAAAAAAGGGTGTCCTTTCCCTCAGTCTGTTGGGGGACAAGTCACTGTCCCCCTTTTTTTTCTCTCGCGGCGCCCATGGAAGGGCTAGGCCCGAATACACCGGGCCTTCCGATGCTGGAACCCCCCTTACGCACACAGGTCGACGTAACCCCTGTGGGGTGGGTCAGGCCTTACGCAAATCTACCAATGGACACCCCCCCTCTCCGGGCATTGCCTTGGCGACACCCGAAGAGGCAGAGATGAAGGGGGCCTTCTCCTTCCGCCACATTACCTCACTTCTCGCTTTCACCTGACCCGCGAAGCCTCTAGGACTCCCGAGCAGGTTCCCCGCGTCGCTCCTGCCGGAAGTACGTGCCGGAAAAAAACCGTCCTCCTATCTCTCTCTCTCTCTCTCTCTCTTTCTGACTCTCGCCGCTGCCGCTGCCACCGTTGTTACCACACACACCAGGCGTTGTCCGGAACTAGCCGGCGATCGCGTGAGCCCATGGGACCTGTAGTCCGCTTCTCAGAAAAACTACAGGTCCCGAAAAGCATTGCGGGGGCTCGGGCAAAAGGAAAACGGGGAGGAGAGGGGGAAAAAAAAGGCCTCGGCAAGGCGAGC